TCACTTTATTATCTAGCACAGGCCAGCTGAGGCTGTTTATTCAGGTAAACTCTAAAAAAATAGCCTGAATTGTGTTTTGCATTCTTTATCTTAGAGGGAAAAAAGCATACAAAGAACTTTCTATTCAAAATGTTTGTGATAGGACAACTGGGTGCTCAAAGATAAGTGTCAGGAACCTGGAAAACCAGCTTCACTTTTGTTTTGTAGCATTGCAGAGGCACCTGTTCCAGAACATTTCATTTACACTTGGTATGAGTTCACCAAGAGGTCAAAACCCAAGAACCTACAGAAGCCAGGCAGAGGATGTGGGAAAGGTTGGCTGGATAGGGACTGACAACGGGAGAACAAATGTCACTCTTGCAGGCAGCAGCTGCTATTCAGCTCTGCCTGTCACCATGCAGGAAAGTCAGATTAAGTTAGCCAGATCTCTTTATTTTTATTTTTAAAAAAAGGCAGACAATTGACTATGGAGATGACATCAGGAGAATAATTTTGCATATAATAGCATGAAAAAGAATAAAATACTTGAGGATAAACTTAACCGAGGATGTGAAAGACTTGTACAGTGCAAACTACAGAACACTGATGAAATTATGGAGAACATCAATCAACAGGAAGGTCTCCTGTGTTCACGAACTGGGAGACTGAAGATGTTAAAATGTCAGGAGCTGGCACTGTGGCATAGTGGCTTAAGCCACTGCTTGTGCTAACAGCATCTGTAGTTAAGTGTTGGTTGATCCAGCTTCCTGTTAATGTGAAAAAGCAGCAGAAGATGGCCAGAGGACGTGGGCCTCTGTCAGACATGTGGGAGACCAGGATAGCTCCTGACTGCTGCTTGGCCCACACATGGCTATTGCCACATTTAGGGGAGTAAGCCAGCTGATGGAAGATTTTGTGTGTGTGTGTGTGTGTGTGTGTGTGTGTGTGTGTGTGTGTGTTGTCCCTGCTCTCCATTGCTCTTTCAAGTAAATAAAAAAATTGTTACAGATGTAAATGCAACCCAAATCTACAGATTTAATATAATTCCCATTAAATTCCCAGCAATACTTTATGAAAGGATAGAAAAATCTACACTATAATTCACATTTTGTCTGAAGAGAACCTGAATAGCCAAAACAATTTTTAAAATGAAGAAACAATACTTCCAGGCTTCAAAATGTAGTAAAAGGGTACAATAATAAAAAAAAAAAAAACAAGGAGATACTGGCATAGAAACAGACACATACACCAATGGAATAAAGCAGCCCCCAACTGAGCTCCTGCATGTGTGGCCAAAGGATTCTCAACAAGAGGCAAAGGCCACTCTGGGGAAAGGGCAGTCTCTTCAACACATGGCACTGGGAAAACTGGATATGCATCTGTAAAAAATGAAACTGGGTACTCTCCTAGCACATTAAAAATTCAAAATGAAGGACAGAACTGAAGATGAGACTTAAAACTAGAAAACATTTAGGCTTAAACACAAGGAAAACACTACCTGATACTGAATTTGGCAATTATTTTGTTTTAAAGATTTGTTTTATTTTTATTCGAAAGACAGATTTACAGAGAGAATGAGAGAGAGATCTTTCATCTTCTGGCTCAATCTCCAAATGGCCACAACAGTTGGAGCTGAACTGAAGCAAAGCCAGGAACCTGGAGCTTCTTCCGTGTCTCCAGCATGGGGGCAGGGGCCCAAGGACTCAAGCCATCCCTCTGCTGCTTTCCCAGGTCACAAGCAGGGAGCTGAGCAGCTGGGACATGAACCAGATCCCATGTGGGATGCCAGGCATTAAAAGCAGAGGATTAACCTGTTGAGCCACAATGCTGGTCCCTGACAATGATTTTTTGACATGCCCCAAATGACAGACAAAAAGTAAAACTAGATTACTTGGATAACATCACACTAAAAAACTTCTGTGCATTAAAAAACCTATTCAACAGAGTGAAAAAAAATATGAAATGGGAGAAAATATTTCCAAATCATCTAATCAGGGATTAATAACAGCATATGTGACAAACTACCCTTCAATAAAGAAAAACAAATATCCTGATGAGAATATGGGCAAAGATCTGAACAGACATTTTGCCCAAAATGATATTCCATCTCTGGCAAAATGCTGTATTAGTCAGTTTTTTTTTTGTTACTTTCAAAAATATCTGAGAGGAGCAATTTAGGAGGAGAGTTTTATTTTTGCAGATAATTTGAGGGTTCACAGTTCAAGCCTGGGTGGTCCCGTTAGTCTGATACCTAGTGGAGGCTGGAATGGTCACATGGCAAGTCCAGAAGCCGAGAGACAAGAAGAGTGTGCTCGGCCTATATAATCCATCCTCGCATGAGAATACCTTCCAAAGGCAAGTCCCCAGGGCCTAAAGACCTGCCTTCAGGGCTCACCCCTAAAAGCCATATGACAGCAAGTCTCCATCTTTACCTCTGCTGTTACAGACCGGACAGGATTTGTCTCTCCTAAATTCTGTAAATGAATTTAACAGTTTTGGAGGGTCTATGTTGGCAATAATCTCAAGCAAGTAGTTTCATCTTTCCTCATATAGTTGATGAAAAGAGGGTCAGAACTGCGAACTGATAATGTTTCGGGTCATATACCCTAGTGGCTAGTGGTGGAGTTTGGAATAGAAAACTGGGAAACCTGTTAAAATGTTTTGAGTCCCAGACCTATTCAGAGTCTAAGAATAACAAGTTAAATAAGGAAAGTCAGGTAAGAACAGAATTGAACCTGTGTGTGAGGGTGGTAGATTCATAGAATAACTAGGATCCAACTAGACTTTGCCCAGCTAAGTAGCCCCATCTTGTGGTCTTTTCAGGTATTGCACCTAAGCTTAATTTTTGAACTGGTCACCACAATGGGAGACCTGACAAGTTGCTGTGGGAATAGGTCTGGTATGATGACTCGCAAATGTTAGGGTGGTTGAGCATCACCCGATGAGGGAGTAAAAATGCATGTTCCTAGGCCTCTCCCCTAGGACATGTAACCGAAATAGGCCCAGCAATCTGTGTTTTTTTTTTTTTCCAAAAGCTCAGGAAGTTGTGGACCAGTATAAGAAAAACTGACAACCTCAAGCCTTAGTGGTACTCATCCCCTTGATATGTGAAGAAAGGACTATTTGGAGGAAAAGTATGGAAGGAAACTGTTAAGAACTGTCCAGGCCTGAGCTTTTGCCCTACTGGAGGCTACCAAACGTGATGCAGTGCTCCCCAAACTGGAGGAATGGCTTATAGAATTGCCACACCTGGATGGGCTTGTCTGACACAGGGTGAGCAGAGTCCTGACCCCAGGTTATTTGCAAAGTGCAGACAAGGAATCAACAGGCTCTCACTGGACATCCTGAGGGATGAAGTCTGATGAATGTTCTAGCAAGTTGGGATGAGGAAGTGCATGGTGAGCTTCTGTGTGAATCCCCTGGTTAACACAATGCTTATGACCTTCGTTTGATATTAAAGATAGGGAACTGTGTGCCTATTTTGTGATGACAATGTGGGGACTGCTCTGGGACATACTGGTGGATGGTTTGCACGTTTGTGTCACTCTGGGAAGCTCTCAGAACACCATCTAGCCTAGAGTCCAACTGTACAGGTGGCTACTGAATTCTGAGTCTGTGATTCAGAGTTCTTGCCCCAGCTGCCTTATTCTGAAGCCACTCCCTTCATGCAGCAAGTTAATATTTAGCAAGGAGCTGACTTGTAATCATTAAGGGAAAGAGAGGAAGTGCCAGCTGAGGCAGAGATGGCTGGGAGCCTGATTCAGTCTGCCTCAAAGGCGTGGGGGTTCAGACACCAGGCTTAGTGAAGACTTTGGGGGCAGGGGTTGAAATGCCGTCTGGGAAGCCTGCACCCCACATGGAAATGCTTGCAACTCCAGCTTCCTACAAATGCACATCCCGGGACGCAGCAAGTCACGGCTTCATTCTGAGAAACCCCATCACGCAGGTGGGAAACCGGGAGTGCGTTCCGGGTTCCTGATCCATCTCTGGCTATCGAGGGCATGGGAGGAGTGGAAGATCTCAGGTTCTCTCTCATTTCAAGTAACTAAGACATGAAAAGAAGACCTGAGACTTATAGGTCAGAGACAAAGGGCGGTTGACCAGCGAGCATCACAGAACCACCTCTGGGCCCAGCTCTGGGGTGAGGGCCATCAGAGCCTACACTGTACGTGAAGTCTAGGAAAACTGGAATTTCTCACAAGGAGTTGGTCTGCCAGAGCTCTGCAGGCGGGAGACAGCATTTTTTTTTTTTTTTTTTGCCAAGGTTGTGTGCTATTGAAAAGGCACTTAGTGTCTGTTTTCCAGATGTGCAGGAAGGCGAGCCACCTGGAGAAACTTGAGCAAGCTGGAAGGGAGCGTGTCCTGTACCCAGGATTCTGTATCCGAGGGCTGTCAGGAACCAGGAGACATGGACGCTGCCCCAGGCATGCCGTCAGCATGGCTTCCCGTGCTGCCAGCTCACCGCATCTCCTCACCCAGCACCCGCCGGTGCTTCGCCCTCACCCGGCAGGCAGGCAGCCACGGCAGGTGCTGGCCATCGTGGCCGAGGAGGAGACAGACGTTGGCCGTGTGTGACGGCTCCCCAAAGCGGCTGGAGTGGGGTCCTGGCGGAGGTCTACCCAGCGTCCCCTTGCCTCACGTGTCTCGAGGGGGCCGGGGGCAGGCTCAGCAATGGCTAACACGAGTAGCCGACTAACCTCACCACAGGCCTGTGACAAGGCACTACGCACCCCACTGACCGTGCTCGGTCACCCCTCCGGAGCAGCCAGCCGCGGGCTCCCGCGCCTCCCGCCACGCGGGCCTGAGGCCTCCAGGCACGGCACCGGGCGGGGACCCGAGGCTTCATTTCCCACCACAGGCCGGAAGCAGACGGTGACACGCCCAGCTGGCCACGCTCCCGCGCTAACGGCCGGCGGGGAACGACCGTTCCGCAGCCCGCCTCGCTCTTCCGGGCTTTCCTCACGCAAGACGGAAGCGGGGGGCGGTGCCTGCTGAATGCGCCGCGCCGATTGGCCAGTGCTGCTGCCCCTCAGCGCCCCCTGGGCACCGCCCACGTCACGGCCGGGAGCCGCCTGGCTAGCAGCTGGGTGGGAGGGACTCGGACCGAAGTAGCGGGCGCCCAGGGCAGCGGCGGCTCGGGCATGCCATGGAGCCTGGCCCCGCCGCGTCCCCCGGGCCTTCCCGCTCGTTTAAGGAGGAGCTGCTGTGCGCCGTCTGCTACGACCCCTTCCGCGACGCCGTGACGCTGCACTGCGGCCACAACTTCTGCCGCGGGTGCGTGAGCCGCTGCTGGGAGGTGCAGGTGACGCCCACCTGCCCCGTGTGCAAGGATCGCGCGTCCCCCGCCGACCTGCGCACCAACCACACCCTCAACAACCTGGTGGAGAAGCTGCTGCGCGAGGAGGCCGAGGGCGCGCGCTGGGCCGGCCAGCGCTCCTCGCGCCACTGCCGCCTGCACCGCGGCCAGTTGAGCCTCTTTTGCCTGGAGGACAAGGAGCTCCTGTGCTGCTCCTGCCAAGCCGACTCCCGGCACCAGGGCCACCGCGTGCAGCCGGTGAAGGACACCGCACACGACTTTCGGGTAAGAGCCACCGGGCCCAGCGCACACACGTGGGTGGCAGAGCCAGAACTGGACACGGCGACCCGGACTCTCCCTTCCCTCCAGCCAGTCCGAGCCACAGTCCTGCTTCTCTTCCTGGCCCTGGCTTGCGGATGGCGGGTCCGGACTCCCACCAGTTCCACCTGGTTACCTCCTACAGGGGCCGCCTTCACCTTGGCCAACGCAGCCCTCTCCCCTCCAGATGAGAGGAAGGAGAATGTAAACAGGGAATGAGAGCTGGGGTTACTGGATACTCCCCAGACAGGGCCGCCCCCTCGGGAACCGGCCTGGGCCCTACACCCCGTGCCTGCGGTGTACCCAGGAGGTTGACACACCCAATTAAGACGTGGAGGATGAGTGCTAGAGCTAGCTTTGGAGCCCTGAAGTTTCCCCCAGATCAGTCCTCTTGCTCCTCTGCATACTTGTAACTGTAGCCCTGTCCGGCTAGTATATTGTGGGTCATCATTTAGCATCCCAGTGCTGCTATTCCAGTGGCTATAGAATATGCCTAGGAGTGATTTAGGCCAGACTAAAGGGGGAGAATTCTTTGATACTGAAAGGAAAAAATGATCAGAAATTTAGGATTAGCCTAGCTCGATAGTTTTTAAAATCTTTGACCTTTGTCCATGAGAAGAAAGTCAGTCATTTTCATTGTGCCCCAGAACATCCATACATAGGTCACAATTTAACAAAGTTAAATGTCCACTGCATGCCAGCATTTTATGTTGCCCTGTTCTCTGCTTCCACCATCGGCATGTCCCCTGTTGTTCTGTCACCTTTGTTGAGTTGTGCTCCACTACCACGCTTTCCTCATTTCCCTTGGTAGAAGGTCTGTGTCCCGATTGCAGACAGTTCCAGTGCTAGGCAGCCTACAGGCTGGGATCCAGGTAGGGGGAGATCGTGACTCCTGTCCCAGCTAACATGGCACAGGTGCAGATTGGGGCTGGGCAGGGCCAAGGCTGAGGACCTCAGGCAGAGCCTGCAGGTCTGAGCCAGTCTCCAGAGAGCACACATGGTCTAAAGACTTGTTTCAGCAGTTCCTGAGTTTCAGTAGGTGCTTGTAAGGCCAACCTCCAGGGGACACAGTGAAGTTGAGAGAGACTCATTTACCCTCAGGATGCTAACAGCAGGGACTTGAGGACTGAGCTGGCTGTTTCAGGCAGAGGCAGCAGTATGTGGAAGGGTTCAGAAGGGGAGACTTCCTAGGTGTCATTGAAGTTCATAGTTAGAAATGAGGATGGAAATGCAGGAGGTGCCAGAGGAACTTGAGTAAAGGCCACAGGAGCAGAAGAATTCAGCAGAGAAGTGGTGCTGGGTTAGTGAGCACTAACAATAGTGGCCAGGGGCACAGGGATTGATCTAGTTCCAAAAGATCTGAGGAGGATGAAACTGTGTGGCCTGCCTGATGCAGGGTGCAACTTGTTTCCTAACAGTGCGTACAGACCTTTGGTGTGCCAGGACTAATGCTGGGCATTGAGACTCCTGAGTCTGTAGGTGGGAGTCCCTTGCCTTGTGAAGCTCATGTTTTAGGCAGGAGTCACAATGAACTGACGAGTTGTTTTGGTGCTAGTTGGTGGTTGTGGGAGGATCCCCTAGAGGACAAGGGGCTGGATAGGAGCTGTGGCTTGCTATGCGGAGCCCTAATTCTTATTAGGGGGAAATGTGATGAGATGTGCAAAAAGAGCACTTTGACTTTACCAACTAGCACTTTTTGTGTTTATGTGTTAACAAGTGGACTCACACATAATGGCTTAAACTGCACAGATTTATTAGAATGAGGGAACTGCCAGGTCCTAACGGGTGTCGGCAGGACTGTTTTTTTTTGAGGCTCCAGAGAAGAACTGGTATCCTTGTCTTCCCCAGCTTCCAGACACCCCTTCCATTTGCAGGTTCATCATCCCAACTTACCTGTTGTCACATGGCCTTCTGCTAACTGCCTTCCTCCTAGGAGGACCCTAGAGATGAGGACCCACTTGGATAATCTAGGCTGTTCTTCCTATCAAATCACAACTCTGGATTTAATCATTTGACAAGTCCCTGTGTGCTGTGTAAGGTCACAGGCTCAGAGATTAGAACGTTGTTGCCTTTGGTGGAGCCATGCTTCAGTCCTCATTCCGAGCCTCTGGTTAAGCAGTGTGTTCAGAGTCATCAGGCCCTCAGGTCATGGACACTGAGAGAGACTGCTCTGCTTGCTGTCCTCTATTCCAAGAGCTAAATGGCTAATGACCACTCTCTGTAGGGTGCACAGGAAAGTGACGGAATGGAAGGCACAGTGTGGCCGGTAGTAGACAGTATGGTCCTAGTCCCTGCCTTCATAGAGTACAGTGGGCTTGATTGTATCACCACAGTAATGGTTGTGAAGGTTCAAACTGACAGTGCTATGAAGGACAGTACAAAATTGGGTTGGGTTTTGTCTGATGGGGCATGGGAAGAAGTAGTCTCTGAGGATGATATTTCTAGAGTAGCTAAGTGGGGGACAGCCTGCAGCAATGGTGGGGTGTATGGTAAGGTGTGAGACAGTCCAAGATGCACTGTACAAAGTACTGAAGGGCATGTTAAGGAGCCAGGATTTTTGTCCTAGGTGCAGTGAGCATGATAAGTGGACTGATGAGATTTGGAACATAATATAAATGTCTAAATCAGCTTTGGAAAAAAAATATTGGAGGTTAAAGAGACTTTAGAAAATTCTTAAGTGGAGTACATGTTTGTAAGTGACCATATGCCTACAAACACAAAATTGGTATAAATTTCTCCTGTTTATATCACATGTAAGCAATAAAATTAAATGAAATTGATCATCCAAATCAAAACTAAAATCACCAAGATTCCAAATTTTTTAAAGAATTAAAAATAAAGATTTATTTACCTATTTGAAAGGCAGAGTGAGCAAAAATAGAGAGAGCAAGTGAATTCATCTGCTGATTCATCCCTGAAATGGCTGTAACAGCCAAGTCTGGGCCAGGCGCAAGCCAGGAGCCAGAAACTCCATCCAGGTGTCCCACATGGCTGGCAGGAGCCAAACGCTTGCTGCATCTTTCCCTGCCTTCCCAGGCACATTGCAAGAAACTGGGTTGGAAGCAGCGTAACTGGGATTTGAGCCAGCACCCTAATATGGGACACCAGTGTCGCAAGTGGCAGTTTAATCTGATGTACCATAAAACTGGCCCCAGTGGTTCTAGTTAAAATGCTAATTGCAACATTAGTTTGTTAAAACTGAATCTCCTCCTGACAAAGACACTTTCGACTCTCCTCCTATGCTACTCCGGCAATGATTTGATTTTTCAGCCAAGATGCGCCTGTTGGAAGAGCTCTGGAACGTTCATGTGATATGATTAGCCTTCATTTGACTCTGGCTCATTCTCTGCCTGTGAAGTGTATTTCTGTTCTGTATTTATTTGACCAAGACATTGAAAGTAATAAAGCCTGGCATGAAGTACGTTGTTAACAGAATAAAAATGCTGGTACTGAAGCTGTAGAAGCTAACATTTGTCAGCTCTCTGCTTATTAGATGATTAAGAATAGATTTATCTGGCATTTTGTTAGGTTAACTAAACTCTTCTTGGAGAACTTAAAATTCCCCCAAAATACATGAGCTGAGAAACCACAGGATATTGTGTGGTGATGCTTATATTTTACTAATGAGAAAAGGGAAACTTGGAGCAGTCTGGCCCTGTGTTTAACAGTAGGGGGTTAAAGTGATAAGGGCCAGGATCAGAACTCAGGTTTCCTGACTCCCTGTTCAGCACTGTCTGACTTGCACCTGCAACGGCAGAGCGGCCCTGGACCCTGACACCCGGGCCTCCGGACAAGGCATGGCCACCTTGTTCTTATCCATGGCCCTGGACTAACAGGGTGGCTTTTCCAGGCTCTCCAACCTCTTCCTGCTCCAATCTCTCCTTTCCCACCTGAGATTTCTTCCTTAGAAGCAATCTGGCTAGACCTTATCTAAGGGTATTCCAAGTACCTATGAAGTCGCATTTCAAGTTTTCCCCTTTCTAGTCCTTTGCCTCCTTTCCCCCAGATACTCAAGCCATTTCCAGTCCCCAGATTTTAAGCCAGGCCTTAGCTGAAGTTCCTGTTGCACCAGAGGCATTCATTGCCTGTTTGTCCATACCTGTGCCTGAGGGGCAGGGAGGGAGTCTCACCAAATTCTGTTCATCGGGGCTCCTGATGACGGAGCTCCAGCAGTGGCTGCATGGTAGACAACTGCTTCATGGGAAGTCTGCACACCAAGGGAACCAAAAGGTCCAGAGACCAAACTGGGGAAGGAGAAAAGCATCTGGACAAGACTGAGTCATGTTCAGTCCATTCATGCTCTCTGTCCCACATGTCCAGGACTTGTTAAATGGTGTTAAACTACCTGGTATGTAAATGGCACCTACTTGTAAAAGCTAACGCCCAGTGAATGCATCATTTGTGCTTAGTGCACCTTGGGCGTATTCACATAGCCACATTGGTGGAGTCCTCACCACAATCCTTTGAGCTCGACTGCAGTTCAATCCAGATGAGGGCGCTAAGATGCAGAGAAGTTATGGGTGTTGGCTGTGGGTCACCTTCAGCCATGTAGAATTTCGGTGGCCAGAAGTCTTAGCTGCTCCATCAGTCTGCCTAAAAACAACATGCAAAATATATATGACAAAAGACAAGAAGTCCTGGTGCTGGAACAGCATGTTTTTCCCATTTTAAAGTGCAATTTTAGAAACTGTACGAAGCTTTTGTGCCCTGAGTTTTAAGATTGGGAATATAATAACCGGAGAAAGAACATTACTAAGGATCTTGCCAGTGGTTAGTGATAAAGTCAGGATGCAGATTGAGTATCTTCACTTTGAGTCCAGGAGGCCTTGTGGTATGCTGGAAGAACATGGGCATTCAATGTTCTGTATCTGAGCAGATGGTGAGCTGAGCAGCAGCTTTGTTTTTGTTGAGATCTGCAGAGAGACAGTGGGCAAATCCGAACTCTCATCTTGCAGAGCAGATTTCAT